CAGTTGAAATAAATTGTGATACCAAAAACCTGCGTAACAGCTCTCTAGACACGTACCACTTGCCAATGTGATTTGAAACGAAGGAAGAACCAAGGGTAATATCAATAACCTCGCTCCGTCTACTGGTTACAAAAGTAGAATCGTTTCCACGATTCAATATTTCCAGGTTAGTGGTTAGAATGAATTCAAGTAAAGACTCACCTTTTTTGTTGTTGTCCTTGCTGCTCCTGCAGGTTTTCGGCCCGACAGGTATCTACTAGATCCCTCGGCTCATCTGTTGGTGGAGGGCTGGGCGAGTCATAGAGAAGGTATGCAGAGGTTAAAATTAATGGCCTCTTGTTGCCTGCTATGTTTATTTCCATCCTCTAAAACAGAAATCTTGTAAGTTGAGGATGTCTAGACCATTTAGTATGTATATACAAGCCCTAGTGTTTCCACATCGGGTATTGTATATTAACTTACCTTTGGTTTGTCCGAGAACCATCAGATACCCTTTGTAGATCCAGAGTTCTTGTATTAGGGCTACGTCTATGTCTTCCCTGATAAGGGTTGCGGAGGCGGCCTTGCAGTGTCTCAGATTAGCTGAACATCTAAAGATTCTTCCTTCCTCTCCCTTTACACTCTGAAGTTAGGCCCAGATAGGGTTTTAACTGCAGGTTTTCTTCGTTAATCAACAGTACAATGGTTTGACCGTTCTCTTCCACTTGTCTGTGAATGACTTGCCACTATTCCGTTTGGAGCCCTTGGTTTTGGGTTTTGAGGAACGCAAGTATCTTCGTTTCCAAGTTTGGGTATCCAGGTCACAACTTTGTTGGTTCGGACGATCTCGCTAGAGGGTCACACCATAAGTTGTGCTCCCTGCCATGGTTGAAGCTGGGGGATTATTTCGGAGAGCCAGATTTTAGCTCCGTTATGGAAATATCCCTTCTTGAACTCAGTTTTTCCTGAGTCTGATTCGTTTGCTCCTCAGTCAGTTTTTCCTTGGGACATTCTTTAGGCACTACCGTCATTTTCATGGGTGTTAGTGCCTCTTTATAGGACAAGCCTCCTTCTACAGCTTGCGCTGCAGATGTGGTTGCACTTGCTTTGTCAGGCACAATTTTAGGCTTCTTGGGGAGTTTGATTTGGAGTTCGGTTGGCTTCTTTCTCCTCCCTTTCTGCCTTAGCCTTTTGAATTGCCAATTTCCCCTTTTGGACGCCTGAGAGTCGCTCAGGTAAATCCTGTTGAGTTTTGAGGCAACTCGTTTCAGATTAATTTCTTCCTTGGGGTTTGTGGAACTGCCACTTGCCTCCGAAGGTTGTTTCGCCTTAGGACGTTGTCCAAAGGTTGATGGAGACGAAGTTAATTCTTCTGGAATCGCTTCGGTTTCTATTAACTCCCTAATATGAGGATTCAGTAAAACTGCAAACGAAGATAATAATAATAATTTATATTCCTTATAGTTTTAACAGATAAAACGTCAAAATAACCTTCAGATATCAAATAGTCACATAATAATATAAACAACAATGACAAGCTTAAAAATTAGCACCATTACGGTTTGTATGCTTCTTCAATAACATATTCTAATTTATGCAACAAATAATGATGAAACCTACTATACAAAATAATAAAATACATATCTGTACACCTAATATAATCGTATAAATTAATAATTCAGCAAAAATATATAAAAAATACGCAAATATAATAATACCTAATCTGAAATCACGAATTTAAATCACAAAAGAGCGCAGAAAACTTAAAATTTAAAAATGCTCGTTCTTTGGAAGAAATCAATTTGTTAAAATAAAAGACTGGGGTATTTTATTTTGAAACTTTATCGTAGTTATACATATTACCAATATAATATTTTCTAATATATATTCAAATTTACAAACTTCAATAAGACATAAAAAATTATAATTTATAATACTGATATTTCTATTATTTCTTAATAATTCTTAAATACCCCGTAAATTTAAACTAAAATAACAAATAACTCATATTTAAATAGTTTGGGTAAGATAAAACTTTTCTGAACAACACACTCATCAAAATGTATTAGGGTGATCCATTTCCGCAATTTTTTTTCTTTTTTTCGATGCTCAAGCAAAATATTAATCTACATATAGGAAAAAAAATTCTCACCAAGTTTGAGCTCTTAATATCATTTTTAAGTACTTAAATGTAAAGTTGTACCATTTAAAATGCATGTAATTTTTTTTTCAAATTTCTAATGCTTCCCATCTTTAATTTGTTCATATTTGATCTGTCTTATGTCTCAATTGATATAATGAGATCAATAAATTATATTTCAATGATCCTATCCAACAACTGCAGTTTCGAAGGCATCTATACTCTGTTTTTAAACTAGGAGGAGCGAATTGAAAAGGCGCATTTACACAGGGAAAAGTAACTAGATTTGTTACTAAGAGCGAGTTTCGAAATATAGTCGTGTTCAAAATTTATGAAATAATTATCTTTATCGGCCTTAGTCGGCGAACGACCAATGAGCGGTTAAGAAACGAATAAATGTCAGGCAACGTTCGCAAATTTCACATTATTGTGATCTGAAATGTGTGTCTAAAACGAAATGTCACTGTCAAATTAAAGTCAATATGGTTGTTGATTGATGTCAGAAATACTTTTTTCTTGCTTTTGAAATCGACTTTTTGAGAATAACTATGATCTTTTTAAAATGGATATTAAATATTTAAGAAAATTGTTAATGGATTATTCAGATGTAGCCAGGTTAGTATAAAATATAAAGATCTGTTTACATTTTTAAGGATAATTTGTTATAGGTATAAAAAGTAAAAGTTAATCAGTAAATGACAAGTGGATCACACAGTAACTGGTATCTCTTCTATGAGTAATGTGGATATTATGGCTTATTTAGTGTTAACCCATGGATAATGCGCTAGAGGGCAAATAAAGGCATTCAAAAGTTTACAGGCCTATGAGTCAGAATTTGTTTTGAAAACTGGAACCAACATTTTCATAACACCTCATGTCAACATATATTTTTTAAAGTGAACTATTCATACATACCTATGTATTAATTCTAAGTATTTTTAAAATATTTTTTGTGAAATTAATGTTAACTAATTGTGCCAAATTAAGATTATCCCTAAAGTAGTAGATGGGTGTTTTAAATGTTATAACAATTTTGTAGTTTTATTCTATTCTGATAAATAAAATTTGCTTAAATATTTAGTTACATTTTAATCATTTTGGTTAGAAATTAATCAATTTTTAGTTTTAAAAAATCAGTAATAAAATTATTTTTTTCTAAAATACTTCGGAATTCATCTCTTCATGGTAATCTCCCATCTTTTTACCTTCCAAAACCAATAATGCATTTTCTACAAAATCTTCAGAATCAGCATGTAAAATAATAAGGTGTCTTCCCTTTCTTGTAAGGCTTTTCAGGAATTGCTACCTTTCATAGTACTCAGTGTAGAAGGATCCATAATTGTAGATTTTCAATACAATTGCTTACCGAAGAACTATTATTTACGAAATAAAGTAAAAAACTAAGTAATGGATGAGATATCAAATTATAAAATGTCAGAACTGTCAACAATATCAATTATTAGCTGATGTTCATGCTAAAAAGTAATGTGTGAAACTGACTGTAATCTGACCAATCAGAAGGCTACAGAATTGCCAACTTAAATTCAAATCGCTCCTCTTAGTTTAAAAACAGAGTATAGTAACATCGTACCTTGAGAAATATGGTACAAAATCAAAAGGTAAGGGCAGGTCATCATCTTCTTTGACTAGAGTGGTTAGAGATATCAGAATTTCCAGATAATATAACAAAGATGTGCAAGTGAGGGCTGCAGTTCCCATGTGCTCTAATAATGTGGGATTATAACACTAATGTGATGTATCCTTTTTACTTATGTAGAGTTTTTTTTATTATTGTTTAGAATGTTTTACTATCACTTGTTCCTATATCTTCCTAACGTTATACATATGTATCTGCAGTTTTCTCAAAAACAAAAGTTCGTTTTTTATTTCAAAACGTCTAGGGTAGTGGCACCAGTCTTGGACAAGTGACCAGTAATGGATACTGTACAATTTAATGCCTGGTATTAAGATACTTGTGAATTGAAGATACCTGTAAATACGTTAATATCTTTTGTTAAATTATAGTTTTGTTTTGTTTGCGATTTCTGCTAACAGAGGACGCCATGTTTTAAAATCCGAACGTTTTATGATCGCGTGTTTGTTGTCAACCTGTTTAGACACATTCGTTAACGCAAGTAATAAGAACGGCAATAATTTATTTAAGCTACCAAAAACAAAGTTTTTATTTTTCCCGAAGATTTGTTTGTGGTGTTGTATAAGGTATGTATTAACCTTGTTATTTACTAACAAAGGGGACTGCTTAAATTTTAGATATTTTAGGTTAGGTGTCCATTAGAGGATCTTAAGTTCATATAAGTACCCTAAATGGACACAATGTCCATTTAAGGCAGTGCCGGATTTATATTTTTTATGAGTGTAGGCCACTTTATTTCCACCGCCCCATGTACCTTTCTAATATAATAATTTTCCATTTATAGTAAAGAATGCTCTAAAGTTAAATAAACGAATGAATTAGTCATTAAGAAAGAGCTTTAAAAAGAAACAAGAATTGCAATTTTTTACGCGACTTTTTAATAGCAAAATCATAATATCATCTAGTTTATGGTGTTCATTATCTCTGCTTCTATATAGAGAAGAGCTAAAGAATTCATTTTTTCTTGAGACAATGAAGACCTTTGATATTTTTTCACGCGTTTTAAACAGGAAAAACTTTTTTCCCAAGAACAATTTGTAGCCGGAGTGGAAAGATGGATGCGGAGAGCTATATCCAAGTTAGGGTAAACATTAGATAGATATTTATTCCTTAAAAAGGTTGAGAGACAGTAGTGATTTTGATCCAGGCTTCACTGTACACTCTGCAGTTTTATTAGAGGAAATGTGACTGTGAAAATGGCTAACTGAAAATGAAAACCAGCAATTGATGAGACATCACGTTGCCAAACTACTGGAAACTATTTTAAAAGATGCCATGTCTCCGGATACGATTAAAAATGGGTTTCGAGTTTGTGGCCTTTATCCCTTTGATGCAAACAACGTGGATTACTCCAAAATATTACACAAGCAACACACAAAAGAAGCAGACGATACTAATAAGCAAGATAACGTGATGAATGATGATGTTAAAAACTGCTTAAACGTTTTGGAAGCTAATATTTCAGCAAATTTACTTCAAATTATGAAGAAACACATTTTGAAAGACGAATGGAGTGGACCTGAGTCAACAAAAGACTTGTTTAATACCAGAGAAAAATGGTAATATAATTGACATAAATACATCTTCAAACTTCTCATTAGAAATCAACGATAACACCCACGAAGACACCCAAAATGAAGAACACGTTCCTCAAGAAGTTACTAAACCCTCTGAAGAAGTTTCACAGGAAGTCTGGCAAGAAGTAATTGAGGATTTTCATGTTACAGCTGAGTCGGATAAAAACCACATAATCCCAGAAGAATATCATCAAGTTCATGCTGCCATAACATTTGACTCCCGATAATGCAAAGCCTTCAACATCAACAACAATTGATCCTTCTATAAGTAATGCACACTGGTAAATCTCCATTTAAAAAATATCTTTTTGGCCTAAGGAATAACAAATGCCTCAGAAAAAAATGAGGGAAAAACCACGTTCAGTTATAACATCTGATTTTCGGTTACATGAACAACAAAAGAAAGAAGCACTTAAATTAGAAAAAGAACAAGAAAAAGAAAGCCGGAAAAGAGCAAGAGAAGAAAAACAAAAAGAAAAAAATTACAAGTCAAAAACTCAAACGAAGGGTAAATATTTTAGAATCCTAATGTTAAACTGGAAATGTTATAAGTGCCAAACAGCATGGAAGGACCAGCATGTATTAGAGAGAAAAGCTAAATGGCTTTCATGTATTAGTTGGTTCATAAAATTTGTGTTCCTCTTAAGTATATGAATAGCCTTTGGAAATACTTACGCAGATTCTGAAGAGGACGAAAAATGTGGTATCACTATTGATACTAGTGATGAACATGAGAGCATCAGTGAGGACGAAGAAGAATATTAATGATTATAAAAGTCATTTATCTCATTTATTTATTTACCAAGATATTATTTTCTTGTTTTAAATTTAAATAATAATAATAATAATAATAATAATAATAAACTTTATTTGCAACTTCCAGTTTTTTATACATATAAAAATATTCAGAAAAAAAAGTGCCAAAGAAGGCTGCAAAAAGGACTGATGAACAGTGGATACTGATCAAAGCACCAGCCCTGAGTATTACCAACGCCACAGGACATCGTACAAAAAACAATATAAAAATAAACACAAATGATAGTGAGAAAAAAAAAGTATAAACATTCTAAAAAGTAGATAATAATTATATTATTTTGTATACGTTTATGTGTTTATTTTTTATTTTATTCTTTTATAGATTCCTAATTATTTTTTGAATCATAAATATCAAATTATCATGTATAAAACAGAAAAGTAATAAAACAAAAAAAAAATGTCCATTAATGGTTCTACAAGTGTAGTCCAGTCATTTAAGCTTAAATTAGGTAAGAATCTCGGAACTGGAGATACCCAGCTGTAAGTCTGTAAATACTTGTATATTGACACGCTAAAAGTTATGTCAAAACCTACATATGGTAGGGTATACGCAACTATTAAATTTCAAGGTCAAATGTCACAAAAATCGGTTTTTTGCGCTTTTTTGTAAATATCTCATTTTTTATGGGTTTTTTGCTATTTGTATTTATTATCAATATTGTAGAATACAAAATTCTCTATAAATTTTGTTTAAAAAAATTCAGATTACAGTAAGAACGTAAAAGCTATGGAGCAGCAGAGAAGATGAAACAATAGTTGTACCAGTTACTCAAGAAAAATTCTTATCAAATCGAAATAACAAAGATATGCTCATTAATATGTTAATTGAAAAATTACAAGCTGCAAATATTACTACTAAACAAGCCAGAGATAATGCTGATGTTCTTATTGTTGAAACTGCAATTGAAGAATCAAATTCTGAAAAAACTGCTGTTATAATAGGACAAGATATTGATTTACTTGTCATTTTAATTGGGCGTACACTGTCTTACGAACAAGACATTTTCTTTAAAAAAGTTGGAAAAGGAAATGTAAAAACGGGGATATACTTGACTAAAAGTTTTGATAATTATCCTCATTCCAAAACACATATTTTATTTCTGCACGCATTAAGTGGCTGTGACACAACTTCTGCGCTTTTTAAAAAGGGAAAAAATCATTTTTTAAAGTTTTTGAGAAACTGACAAATTTGAATGAACTAGCTGCAGCATTTGAGAAAGAAAATTGTTCGGCCCAGAGATTATTTAGAGAGTGGAACTCAAATCTTATTGGCAGTCTATAATGCTCCGAAATCTGTGAAAAGTCTCGATCATCTTCGTTATATGCATTACGTCAAGTCTACAAAACTTAATTAACCTGTGCAGCTTTCAAATATTCCACCAACAAAAGCAACTGCTCATCAACCTTTCAAACGTGTATATTATTAAGTTCAAACTTGGTTAAGGCATGATTTGGAACCCCAGGTATGGAGTTGGGCAATGCGAAACGATTTTCTGGAGCCTATCATGACAATTTTACCACCTGCTCCAGAAGATTTGCTAAATACAATTTTCTGCAACTGCAAGAGTGGTTGTGGTTCGCGATGCTGATGCAGGAAAGCGGGCTTGCAATGCTCTTTAGCTTGTGGCCAATGTAATGGGCAAGCTTGTTTCAATTCTCTACCATATCAGAGCGACATTAACGAAGATGGAACCTTTGACCCCGAAATCATGGAAGAACTTGAGAGAAATGTCGTTGAAGACGATAATGAAGACCAGTTTGAAATTTACCAGCAGCCGGAAGACGACGATGAAGAGGAAGAAGATTATTAAAATTATAAATTGTAGTTTTTGTACCTTTTATTCCATTTTTTTACTTTTAATAAAAATAAATGTATTGAATGAAATTTTTTAATAAAAAGATTAATTCATAATTTATTTGTTTTTTTTTTTCATCATGTAAGAATTTATTAATATTAATTAGGTTAAAATTCAAATATAATTCCTATATTTTCATTAACAATTTAGCAATTACATGGGCAGGTAAGTGTTGTAAAATAAATTAATACTAAATAAAAAGTGGATAGGTTAGGAAAAAAAAATGATAAAATATAATATAATAGTTAATAAAAATTGACAAATATTTATAATCATTGATTTATCGATATTTCATCAACTATATATGGCGCGTTTTCGACCGGAGGCACCGGTTGACCTGAAGTGATGCTGTGACCGCGCGCTCTCCGTCATCTATCTCGAAAACGGTTCACCGTATGAAAAATTTTTTTAAACAAAATTTTTAGAGAATTTTGTATTCTACAATATTGATAATACATACAAATAGCAAAAATCCCATAGGAAATGAGATATTTACAAAAAAAGCGCAAAAAAACGATTTTTGTGACCTTTGACCTTGAAATTTAATAGATGCGTACACCCTACTATATGTAGGTTTTGAGACAACTTTTAGGCTGTCAATATACAAGTATTTACAGACTTACAGCTGGGTATCTCGAATTCCGAGGTGAACTTACTATAATGATTGGACTAGTGTCCAAATTAGGATTTATGAAAAAAACGACTGTCCATTTGTGGCGAAAATGCATATGTAAAAATTAAATTTCAGGCAATTATGTTTAAATTATCTCTAAAAGTGTCCATAACTGGTGCCACTACCCTACTTAAATTACATTAAATCCAATAAAAATCAAATTTTTGAAAAAAGTATTAAAATTCAATAGTCTAAGAGTTATTTTGAAAATCATGCAGAGCCTCCTGATAAGTTGACATTTTTTAAAACTTGTAGAGTTAGCCTTTCAGAACCAAGCCACGCATTTTTTCCCATACAAACAAATGCATATTGCAGAAGAGAATATTGGTGACAAATTAATAGAGCAATGAAAGAAAAAAAAATCAGAATAGTTTATCAAACCCAATATTTAAACGACTAGTCAAACCAATTGAATTGATAAAATGACTAACCAATTTTGCCATTAACACTATCTTTTGTAAAGTGCTCAATAAATATATAAATCATTAGTAACAATTTTGTGCAAATATAATAAATAATTTGCACCTAATATATTTTTTTAAGTTGGCGCTATTTAAAACCCACTAATGTTGCATTAATTTCCTAAATACACATTTTGGGATATAAATCTCACAAAGTTGTCTTATTCTGTTTAACATTAAAATTAATAAAACATAAGTGGGTATTTAAAATTAAAGAACAATTATAGTTACCAATTTTTACAATTTTAAACAATTTTTTTACTTTAGGTCTTTACAGCACATCAGGAAGGTATAATAAGTATAAGTGGAATTTAGTCCAAACATTTTCTGGTCACGACGCCTTCCTCGGAGGCGGCGGAGGAGCGGGTGAAGACGCAGAACCGGGCGAACTTCCGGGAATGTTCTCGTATAAAGTAGGTTTCACCAAATCATCTGGAGGTCTATAAATAAAAATGAGCATTTTATTAATTAACACTTAAATAAGGTTCAATTTGGGAACGCGCGACATACGACAGCAAAAGCGACGGCAAATGAGACCTGTAGGATATGAATCACACTCAATGTATTTGTATTAAATAAGATTAAGAGCGATATCCATGCAACACCTAACAGCAAATTCAGATTTAGAACACACTGACAACTTTCAGTGCATCTGAACCCACTTTGGCAACGTTGCTCTATTCCCAGGCTTACGCTCCCTTCAATTTATTACTTATAAACTATAGATGATTTAAAATATTAAAAATGCCGATAAATCGCAGGTCCGGTCTAACAAAGAGTATTTCTGTTTTGTTTTCTCGTTTAAAATATCTTTTAAAGGTATAACCTGGTGTAACATTTTCGAAAAATTTTTTTTATAACTAATTTATTTATTTACGAAATATATTTTTAAATATACATATGTACCTATTTCTACATTTTCTGATATACAGGGTGTTTGTTGGTAAGTGTGAATGATTTTAGGGAATGTTTGCCAAAGTTATTTTATAAAAAAAACATAGATCGAAAAAGTCAGTGGCGCAGTACTTTTTTATTAAAAAAGTGGCATTCTCGCACAAACGCCACTGGTACAAGTAGAAATATTTGGAACACCCCAAAAAATACACATTTGCCCCTTCAAAGTTTTTTTGCAAATTTAGAGTAAATATCTTTAAAACTATTAAAAATAATTAATAAAATTTAATAAATTAAAATTTAAACATTCTGTATCTCGCAAACGAAGCATATTTCGACCTACTTTTATAGGAACTTTTTTTAACAAAATAACTTTGATAACAATTTGCAAAAATCGTTCGTACTTATTTACAAATACCCTGTATAAAAATACTTTTTTTAAATAATAACCCATTTGATACTAGTTTGTGCAACAACAGTGGACAATCCACTGGAGTTGTACAGTATGTTTTTTCTACGACCCACTAACGAAAATCTACAAATTTAAAGTATTATTTTAGGAAAAGACAAAATAATTAATTTTAAAATAATTTATGACTTTACTAATTTGTGAAATAAAATAAACATGAAAAAATATTTCATTTAATTAGTCCCCAGCCCAGATTTGAACTCGGACCTCTCGCGTGAAAGACAGATGCCGTATCATCATTTTCACCTCCACATTTAAAATTTTAGTTCTAAAAGTAGTAATTAAATTAGTTTCATATAGGTAGTTTAATTCAAATTTAGGATTTTTTAAATTGTGGTCTAAATTAAAATTATTTATGAATCCTACGCAAAAATAACTCATTTTAATGTATATTTAATCTCAATTCCTAAAAAATATACTGACAATTAGTTTGACAGAATTGTCACTTATTTAAAATTTTAAAAATAATAGTTGTTGGGTGTCCAATATATAAACTGTGATTGGTGGATTTCATTTTTTTGCAGTGTTCTCACTACCCAGAATGGATATGAAATATATTCGTTGAGTTGAACGCAATAGTATATTTTTTCGTTTTGTAGTCTGTGCGTGAATAGTAGTTTGTGCAACAAAATTGGATATGATGGCCATATCGCACGAAGACGAAGTTTCAGAACGACGCCGTAGACGGAGTGCTTAATCGTCTGAGTGCGATACAGACAATCCACTCGAGTTGTACAGTATATTTTTTCTACGACACCCTAACGAAATTCTACAAATTTAAAAAAGTAATTTATTAAGACAAAATAAATAATTTTAAAATAATGTATGACTTTTAATAATTTATAAAATAAAATAAACATACAAAAAGATTTAATTTAATTAGTCCCCAGCCATGATTGGAACTCGGGTCTCTCGCTTGGAGACAAACTCCGTGCCGTCGCCACACTTGCCATTATAGTTCTAATACTTGTAATTAAATTAGTTTTATATGGTTTGATTAAAATTTAAGATTTGTTTATAAATTTGGACGAAATAAAAATAGAAATTCTATTACTTATCGATTATACATAAGAAATATTCATTTTTACGTATATTTAATCTCAATAATTCAAAAATATACTGACAGTTAGTTTGACTACATAAAATTTAAAAAATAATAGTAGCCGGGTGACCAATATATAATCTGATTGGTGGATTTAACTGTTTTGCAGTGTTCTTACTAGGTAGAATGAATATGAAATATATTCGTTCAGTTGAACGCAATGGAATACTTTTTTGTTTTGTAGTATGTGCGTAGATTAGCTAATATTCATGTGGGTATAGAAAAAAGCATATCCATGTGGATGTAGAAAATAGTAGTTTGTGTAACATGAGTGAATATAAATTAAATTGATTTCATATAGTTTAATTAAAATTTATAATTATTTATTTCTAAATATAGATCAAATAAAACTAGAAATGCTATTATTTATCGATTCTACACAAGTATAACTCATTTTACGCAATAGCATATTTTTTCGTTTTGTAGTCTGTACGTAGATACGCTATCCATTTGGGTGTAGAAAAAATTGTTTTCTAGTACTAAAATTATTTAAAAATGATTTATTATTAGTAAAAGAAGGAATAAAAATAATCATTTTTATTGACTATTGGTCGGATTTCTACTCGGATTTCTACTCAAATTTCTAATATCTAACCTCTAGTGAAACGTGGATCTAAGATCTCGGGTAGTATACAATCTAAATAAAATTGCTTTAGTTTGTTTTCCATATACACCAAAATCTATCATCTTTTTTATTTTTTCTACTAACATACTTAAAGGTATTAAAATAAATAAAAAAAAAAAAAATATTTCGTTTAGTTACGTTAAGTTGCCCCTGAACAATTATTGCATTTTCGCATTATCATTAATAATTGCAAATTTTATTATGTTGTCAACCATTGCTATTTTCGGAGTCAGTTTTGAAGCAGTGGCAGGATATTTAATTTCGATAATACTGTCTGTTCCTAATAAACCGTCGGAACCTAAAAACCATATTCAGAAGCCACAAATAAACCACATTTATTGGATATCCGCTTTAAATTTGTAAATATTGCTTTAAAGCTAAAGGTTTTTTTTTTAATTCAATACTTAGTATATTAATTTCCCATATATTTTAACTTTAATGCTTAGAAGGGGTGCTAATGTTTGTCTTTTTCTAAGTAATCTAGCACGATATTTTATAGATTTCCGTCGAAACGGAAATATAATTTTCGACATTTCCGAAAGTTTTCCCATTTTTATCACAAATTATTATAACTCAGCTTACACATAAAAGTTCATATAAACACATTGACTAAATACGAAACAAAAACACCTACACTTGAACTAAAAAGAATAAAGTTTTTTATTATTTTATTTTTATCCCAATTTTCCGGTACTGCATGCACCGCCAACGTCCGCCGCCTTGTTGCCACATCAATTAATATGGATTGGAATCTTGACAGATTTTCTCAGATTTCCTAATTCAAGGTTTTCAAAAAATATACGCTTTGGACAAAAAAGTGTATTGGAAAGAATTAGCTGATTTTTATATAACAATTCCCGGTAAAGACTCCTTTTTGCAATAATTTTCATAATTTGTATAGAAATAATTAAAAAATTAGTTTTTCTGAATTCGGGCTCTACAGCGGAGTTCTCTATCATTTGCTTAGTAGGTATACCAAATTTTATAAAAAAATATTTAAAACTGAGAAAGAGAACCTTGAAGTCGTTTTAAGCCTGTTTCTAACCATGGATATCGCTCTTAAAGAGTTTGGGCAAGGGATAGCGATATGCTTACCGAGGAGGGTTAGTCGACATTATGTAAGCACGTGATCCAGAGCTCTGTTAAAGTAATAGTCTTGTTTTATTTAAAGTGTAAGTGAGTGAAAAGGGCAAACACTATGTTAAAGATAATTCAGATTGTCATGTTACTTAGAAATCGCTGCCTGATAACTAGGCAACTCCAAGCGCACGAAATGCGAGCTGAAACGGATGATGCTTCCCGGCTCTCTCTTCTGTGCGAACCTCGAAGGAAGCAACATCTCGGGCAGCTCTCTTTTCGTGCCGCTCAAGTTGTTTTGTATTAAAAGGTGAGTAATAGTGTAGTACACACCGAGGTGGGAAGAGTTTCATTCCTGTCGTGAGATTAGTTAGATCACCGAGACGCGAAGCGTCGAGGTTAGCTATGATCTCGAGACAGGAATGAAACTTCCTACCGAGGTTTGTATACTATTTTATTTACAACCATCATATTTCGATCAAAGTTAATAAATCTCTGTTTTGTTCTGAATATACCTAAAATATTACATTTAACGACAAATTACCAAGCGCGCGGTTTTGTCAGAATAATCAAGTAGGTAAATATATTGTTACTGTGATTACGGGATAAACAACTGTCACCAATATAAATAAATGTCCGATAAAGCCGGATATTAAATTCGCGAATAATAAATATCAATAAGTAGTTTGTTGTATTTTAGATCATTGTTGTTTTTTAGTGTTTGCCATTAAATAGGTATTATAAAATTTGTCAAACACCGTGTTTTTTTTTTTTATATAAAAAATATTCATCTATAATAGATGAAATGAGGGCGGAAGTGAGGGCGGGAAGTAGAGGTGTGTAATGTGACACTTCCCAACCTTCAATGACGTTAGTAATGACAACATTACATATATGGTTGTAAATAAATGTTTATATTTATGTTCATTTAAGTTTGTTGTTTTTGTAGTCCCTAATCCACTTCCTATCTGTAATGTATTAAATAAACTGTATTATTATATATGGACATCACCCTATACAATTAATTTCTATTCTGGTATCTTGTACTGTTTTTTACTGTATGGCGATAACGTCGGCTTCAATGTGGAATCACGGAATAAAGGCACTTTCAATTCAGCATTTAATTGAGTTTTATTATAATTAAGAAGTACGGGAAAAATAATAAAATAATTGTAGTTCTTAAGGAAACTAGGGATATTACACTGGCGCAGTCAGTAGGATGAAGTTTAAATTAAATTAAATTAACCAAGTGGGGTGATAAATTAAATAACAA